TCACCACCTAAGGTTAATTAATGACATCTAAGATAAGCTGAGACAGACCTTCATAGCTTTTTGAGTTATTCTGCTCACCAACAAACTAACCAGCTTACCAACGCTACCAAAAGCATAACCTTGACGGAGGTAATAATAATAATAATATCATTATCATTATGAATTTTACTGTTATTATTATTATTATTATTATTGTTGTTGTTGTTATTATTATTATTATTTTTTATTGTTGTTATTATTGTTATTATTATTATTATTATTATTATTATTATTATTATTATTTATTATTATTATTATTATTATTATTATCATCATCATCATCATTATTATTATTATTGCTATAATTATTATTATCATTAATATCATTATTGTTATCATCATCATTATCAGCATCATCATCCTTATCAACATCAATATCATCATCATTATTATTATTACCTTAATATTGTAATATTATCCATATATTTAATATGAACATTTTTGTCATATTATCCCTTTGTTTAGTCATTATTTACTAAGATTAAAAATTATGAATGTTACGCATTACTATTAATATCATAAACATTATTAATCATTAATATTATCAGTATCAGCCTTATCAGTATTATTAGTATCAATATCATTTATTACCAATATAAACCAGTTATTACTATCACTGCGAATTATTATTGATATTAGAATTATTTATCGTCATCATCATTACTTTTGTCATTATTAACAAAGTTAGTGGAAACATCATTAGTATTAGTAGGAGTAATTTTGTTATCAATATTTCTATTTTTTTTATCAATTATCGATTATCAAATTTCATTACATTCTTTGTCGCTGTTATTATTTTCATTACTAATCTTACTATAATAATGATAATGAAAGTGATCGCAATAATACAATTATTATTATTATTATCATTATTATTATTATTATTATTAACATTATTATTATTATTTATTATATATTATTGCTATTATTGTATTATTATATTATTATTATTATTATTATTATTTATTTATCATTATTAGTTTTGCTATCATCATTCCTTATTATCATTATTATTACTGTATTATTATTATTGTTATTATTATTATTATTGCCATTATTACCATTATCGTTATATGTAATACTTTTATCATTTCTATCTTTTCATTAATATTATTATTAGTTTTAACGTATTATTATTGTTATCACTATTATTATTATCATTAATACTGTTACATTTATCATAACCATTAGTATTATCTTTTTTTGTTGTTGTTGTTATTATTATTATCATTTGCATTATTATTATTATTGCTATAATTATTGCTACTTTTAACATCGCCATTTCATTATTATTATCATCAACGTTATTATCAGTTTACCATTCCATCCCCGCCATTCACTGATCACCCAGTCGCCGCCGCGGCCCTCCCGGCCCTCCCGGCGCCCGACGCGTCCCTCCCGCTGACCGCCTTCCTTCCCTCCCGCAGATCTGGTTCAAGAACCGCCGCGCCAAGTGGCGGAAGCGCGAGCGCAGCGCCATGGCGTCGGCGATGCCCGGCGACCTGAAGGGCGGCTGGGGCGCGCAGCTCAACGGCTTCGCGTGGCCCGACGACGGCCTCTACTCGGGCTACTCCTACAACAACTGGGCGCGCGTCACGCCGCCGCCCCTCAGCACCAAGAGCTTCGCGTGGGGCTTCAACAGCGTCAACATGAGCCCCCTGATGAGCCAGCAGCCGTCGGCCATGTCGCCCATCAACTGCTTCCAGACGCCCACGCAGGGCATGGGCGGCTCCACCTCGGCGGCGGCCGCGGCTGGCATCATGCAGACGTCGATGGCGTCCAGCCTCGGCTCCACCAGCGCCGCCGCCCGCCCTGCCCTACCCCGCCCCACGCCCCCGTACGTGTACCGCGACCAGACCTCCAACATGTCCACCTCCTCGCCTCCCTCCCGCCTCAAGGCCAAGTCCCACTCCCCGGGGGGTTCTCCTACCCCCCGTGTCCCCGCCAGAACTCCCTCTCGGCCTGCCAGTACTCCATGGGCGATCGCTCCACGGTGTAAGCGGCGGCGGCGGCGGCGGCGGCCGACCTGAAGGACCCGTTCGGTCGCGGCGCTGACGAGCCCCTTGCCGCGGGGCAGCGTGCAAGCGTGCGACGACGTGTAGCGCTGCCGCCTGCACCGAGCACCTTGGCCTTCAGCGCTGTCTGAACCGCCGGCCCAACCCCGAGGACTTTGTTTTCTGAGGGGAATGGAGGGGCATTCTTACCATCATCATCAGCCCTGGGTGAGTGGCATTCGATCGGGCACCAGCAAGCGCACTCGTCCTACAAGTCCCACTTACACAAAGGAAAAGGAAATACGTGATTTCCCAATGCCCTTGCTGCTTTTAAAAAGTTTTACACGCGCGGGAAGAGAAAGGAGGAAGAAGGTCGTTATTTACCTTCGCCGGGGAAGTCGGGCAGGTTTCATATGACGACAAGAAAGCTTCGGCCGATCAGAATATATCTTTCTTCTTCCTTGCTG